ATATCAAAACAGATTTAACTTCATACAACATGTTGCAACTATTACTGCAAAGCTGACACCTGTGTCACTTTGAGTGACATGGGGCCGAGGGGACTGTGGAGCAGAGGGTGGACGGGAAAGCAGCTGTGACCACACAGGCTCGCCCAGGACATGCTGAGCACGCGGGTTCTGGGGCGCCATGCCCGCAAGGACATGCGCGGTGGACGGGCGTCTGGCCGGGGCTGCCCCGACGTGGCTGGCCGCCCTCCCGTCTTACCTGGGCTGGGGAGGTGGCCGGCTCCCTGGGCTCCGTCTGGCCGGTCCCCAGAGCGGGCATCCCGGGCTCTGAGTGCAGGAGGGTGGAGGGGCTGGAGGGAGGTGACTCGGGTTGGCGCCAGGCCCTGGGGACACAGGAAACGAGTCTCACCCACGTGAACGGACACCAGCTGGCGGGCTGTAGAGAGTTCAGGAAGCACCGTCCTTGGCTATCCTGCGGTGAGCTGTGCGCTGCCATGTGGCGAGGCCCGGATCTCGTGGGCGAGGGCGTTTGGGGGCTTCTATCAGCTCGCCACTCCCAAGCGCCAGGGTGTCCACACGTGACTTGTCTGGGGCGGGATCTCTCTCCCAGAAGCAACGTGATTGCAATGGGGTGTCTGCACAGGAAGTCAGAACCCGTGGCGTGGACGTGGCACACGCTCACCTGTGCTTGAAGAAGGATCTTCTGGAAAGTCCTTCGTGGTGTGTCGACCTGACTATTTACCTAAAAGGGTGGTAATACTTCCATCAAATGCCCTTTCATAAGAGATTGCTTAAGATTCCAGGATCAAGCCAGACTCAGGTAAAGTCCTTGATCATTTTAAACACCAGAAGGAAATACTCTTTCAGCCACAATCAGAACGAACTCAGCTGCCACTGTCCCCCGATAGATGTCGGGGGCGTCCCCGGAGGAAAGCTGGGCGGGGGAAGCCCGCGGCTGGTGGCCCCCCGGTCCAGGGCAGACCCCGCCCGCCACCACCCCAGGTCTGAGCTCTCCTCCGTAGCAGCACATCCTTCCAGCCAGACAGGGCAGCACTGCCCATCGCCGTCAGGAGGAATCCTCGACTGCTGCCGGAGCCGTGGCGGCGACGTGCACAGGACAGTCGGGGTTTCTGGGAGTCTGGGGACGGCGCCGCCCCTCGGGCACTCAGCCCCCAATACCCAGGGTGCCTGCTTCATCTCCACTTCATCCCCGTGAAATCAAAGTTACTCATGTTCTCTCAGCATTTTTCAAGGTCCCTCCCAGATCAACACACACCCACAAACACAGCTCAGGGAAATAGCTCCATTTGTGTGCCATGAACATGCTGGTCACGGTTTCTATTCAGTGAACAGTGACTTTTAACCGGTGGGATGCCAGCCGCCTGTTGCAAACGTAATGAGAGCAAAAGAATCAACTTAAACCGAATCAAAACAAAAAGTACAAAAGTCCTCTTATGGAGAAATCAGTTAAACAGTGATGATCCAGCAACGAAACCATCTGTGGAACTTAACTGCCAGCCAAACGCTATCAGACTTGGGAAAGCAAGGAAACTCGGTTTTTCTCGGAGGCTCCAGAACCTTCCAGAAAGGACCATCGGTCACGGCTCTGCACAGCCTGCGGATTTGCTGCATTTAATTTGAACATCTGCGACCACCACCCCTTTCTTCTTCAACACTGCATGCCCGGCAGGCCACACTGACACACTGCAGGGCTCGCCACCTCAAGACCAGGGCGACCCAGCAGGGCCGAGAGCCCCACTCAGCACCCCCCACACCACACAGCTGCCACTGTCAGACATCACGACGGGGACGTGCCCTCCCCCGTTCCTCCAACCACGAGTCATGGCTACTGGGACGCCGGTCCTACGGGCCCCCCAATATCACAAAACGAAAGGCTCAGCCCTGGAAAAATCTTGTTAACAACCTGAGGAGCCTGGGGGCCAGAGCCAGGAAATAGCCCCCACAACGCCCTCGAACCGGACCGGGGCGAGGGACCCCCAACACAGCAGCGCAGGGCTCCCATCTCCCTTCCGGGCCTCCCCAGAGGAAGTGTGCCAGGCTCTGCACCCACCAAGCTTGGGGGTGTCTCCATACTGGAGCCCGGGGGGCGGTGCCACTGCTTTGCCATCAGTAGTGCCCAGTGTGAATCCAGTTTTCTCCTTTGAATGTGTTTTTAGGTCCCCTGTGCTCCCCGGACTGGGGGTCGCCTGGGCTCAGGGCTCACGTCGCCACTGGGCGGCACCCAGGAGGGGTGGGCGGCACCCAGGAGGGGTCTCCCCATCCGCACGCTCCCGTCGGGCGACCCCTGACGACTTCTGCAACTGAACGGAAACCGTGGCCCGTCTGGAAGCAGAGCGGTGGCAGGGGGTGAATGCAGGGGCTCTGGGGGGCCTGATGCTTTGTCGCATCCGTGCACAGAAGCCGGCGCCTGTGAACTGAACGTCACGGAGCAGATGCGCCCACGGGCGCTCCGCAGGGGCCGTCCAGCCCCGGCTCAACACAGGAAGGCAGCTCGCCACCCCTGCCCACCTGCCCGCCAGGGACGGAACGCCTGCCACAGGGAGGTGACCGCACAGTCTTGGAAAATGAAGTTCTTCTCTGGATACTTCCATTCCTCATTTTAGTGTATGCCCAGAACAGGCAGGTTTTCCTTAGGATGTCAGAAAAGAGTGTTCTAAAACAACCCATTCCTCCAGCCAGCCCTTCAGCCTCTCTGCCTGAGGGAACATGGGAGCCCATGCCTGGCCCCCTGGACACGGCCCAAGTCACCAGCTCCCAGCCGCCAACTTCTCAACCCTCTCGTAAGGGCAGAGCTAACAAAAAAAGTGGGAAATTTAGAGTATTTACAGCAAAGAGGTTAAAACATAATAGAAATAACAAAATATCAAAACCCACTAGTCGACTTCACCCCGGGTTAGTCACGGACGTTCTAAAAATAGAGTGGATGGGGTTCTACTCCCCCGCGCCCAGCTCCCTGCGAACTGCGAAGGGGGGCATGTGCGTGCACGGGGCCTGGGGACGTGCCCGGGGTGCTGCGGCTGCCCGACTGCGTGTCCGTGGGAACAGAGCACCCGACAGGGTCACCGCTTGCCCTCTGACTCCGCCCAGCTGCCCCACCTGCTGCCAGGCCGGGTCTGGGCCTCTGCAGGGACAGGGCCGGAGGACGGGGGGGGCCCTTGGAAGTGAAGAGCATCTCTCCCTGTGCCTCACTCGTCCCAGAGCCCCACAGTCAGACCCCTGGCTCACGGCTAACAGCCTGACCAATGCGGGTGCAACCGGTGCTTTCGGGCCACCCGGACGCCTGCCCCATCCCTAGCACAGCTCTGCACAGAGCACCAAAGGCCTGGGGAACAGGCCCACCCCGGAGGAGAAGGCTGCCAGACACGGGGACGGGAGGAGAAACACCGAGAAACCGTCCCCCTCGTGACAACGCGGTTCAGCCCCGGAGGAGCTGCTGCGCCTCCAGGGGACTCTGACACGTGGGGTTCACTCCCACCAACTGGGAGTGTCCAGAAAGAGCCAGAACAAGTGTCCAGCGCTGCAGCTACACACCCAGCCTGCTCCTTCCACGACGTCTGTGAAGCTGCCCAGCCGTCCCCTCAGCGGGACGTTCACCTGCGGACTCGCCGATTCTAAACCCCAGATACTGCAGATACCCCAGGACCACCTCCTCAAGCTATCAGATCATCACAAACCCAACAGTGTCTGCTGACAAGTTCAGGGTTTGAGCTGAGCGGGAAATGGACTAATGTTGCGGAGCGTTTATCAAACACACTTTGCTTACATGTCCCGCGTTTCACGTTCCCAACAACTGTGTGAGTGACCGTTGCCATTCCCATTTCTCAGATGCAAAAAATGAGGCCTAAGCGGATTTTCTAAAGTGTGTCCAACAGCCTCGGGGATGCACCCCTGGATCTGACTTCACCGCCAAGCCCTACAACCGCCCTGGCGTCCCACCTGCCTCGGACCCGGCACAATAAATAAAGAGAACGTGATGCTATTCTCCACGGTCAGACTTCATTAGCCACAAGCAATTTTCATCACAATCCTTAGGATATTTTGGTGCTCATGAAAACAAAGCCGTGAAAATATTGTTTTTAAGGTTAGAGTAAAAATGAAAGACACGCTCCCCAGACCCCCAACACTGGCTGCAGTTTTCCCCTTGCTTCCTTCAGCGGTGCTCAGGGACCCACACACAGCCCCGCCAGCCGTACACGCTTGGACCGCAGGGCCCTGGGACGGGGCCCTTCCCATGCCCTCTGCACTCAGAGCCGCCTGTTTTGGGGTGTGTCACTCTGCCCCGAAGAGGGAAACGGGGCCACACCCGACTCTCCCTCACAGACACCAACCCAACAGAGCATTTCTCTCGGGACGCCGGAGACATGGTCACACTGCCCCAGACACCCAGGACCCGGGCACCCAGGATGGATGGTGTCAGAGCACCCGAGCCGAGGGGGCGTGGCACCCTCCCAGGCCGGCGCCTGGGGACCCTCGGCCAGCACCGCTGTACCTCACCCGCTCCTTAGGGTACTCTGTTATTTGCTGTGAGCAGCTGGAATTTAGCTGGAGACACTCAAGGTGTAAACACAACACCCAAATCCTCGTTAAATCTCACGTGCCCGCGGCACTGCCTGGCAGGAAGCGAGGATCTGCAGCCTGGCCACGCTCCCCAGGCAGGACGAGTCGGCACCGGCAGGGGGCGAGGCCAGCAGAGGGAGCCCGAGCCCGGCACGTCCCAAGGCCTCCCCAGCAGGGGTCCCTGTCCCGGGCCCGCACGGCCCAGCACTTGTCAGCCCGCTCAGGGTTTAGGGTTAGATGCCTCGATTTCAAGTACGAACGTTCGCACAGGCACTCGGCCGCTTCCCTCCCGGTGCCCCGACAGCGCTGCCTCCTCTCCGAAGGCCCCTCGACCGCCACGACCCACACGCACGCACCCTCAGCACATCCGTCGCGGGCTGAGGCGCGTCACTCCCGCCCACACTGCGCGCCCGCGCGGCACTTACGGGACAGGGAGTGGGTGCCCTTGGGCAGGTACTCCAGCAGCAGGGAGCTGTCGTCCGCCAGCACGTCGGCCTTGAGGGCCAGCAAGCTGTTCTTACTCATGAGCGCCGCCCGCAGGTTGGCCACCGCGGTGGCCTGGTGCAGCGCGTCGTCCTTCTCCGGGGTGAGCGGGGCTCCCAGGTAGCTGCCTTCTCCTCCCAGGAGCCCCTCGTCCACATGCGCGTAGAGCTCGGGCCTCTCCCCGCGGCTGTCGGAGCTGCTGGCTTCAGCGACGGTCAAGTCCGCGTCTGGGGAGGGAAACACACGTTAGAGACCTCGCCCGCGACTCAGGACCCTCCGAACAGCAAGCAGGCAAGTTTAGGAGAAGCCGGAGCCACGAGCGTCCTGAACCCCAGCGGCCTGGCCTCAAGCCCGACCCGGCCCGACACGAAGTCCCAGGACGGTGGTGACCATCACAGCCAAGACCTCGCGTGGGGCTCAAGCCAGAACCCGGGGATGGGCGCCCACCAGGACAGCGGGTCTGCGCCGGGGCTGAACATCGCTCGGAGAAGGGGCAACACTCAAAATGGACCAAAAAGCCCAGACTACACAACCTTAGAAAACCCCCGCGGCCTCAGGCTGGGCCACGGGTTCTCAGCTGCGACACCAAAAGCACAAGCACTAAAACAGATACTAAACTGGACTTCGTCACACACTAAACCCCTGAAGGCCTCGAAGGACACCATCAACACGGCGAGAGGATGCGTGGGACAGAACATCTGCAAACTGCACGCCTGACACGAGAGCCCGTCTACACACTACAGAGGAGTTCACTGCTCCAGAGAAAGACAAACACCCCAGCTTAAAAACGGGCAAAGGACATGAACAGATATTTGCCCAAAGAGGACACACAAACGGCCAGTGAGCAGTGCTCGGCGCCGTTCGTCACCAGGGAAACGCGACTCAGCGCCAGGACGCCGTTCCCACGCCCTCTGCGACGGCTGCCACCCACAAGTGCCAACGGGACGTGGGACCCTGGAGCCCTCCAGGCTGCTGGTAAAGACGTAAAATGATGCGGCCGCGGTGCAAGAGCGTAGCGGGTCCTCAGAAGGTGGACACCAAGTTGCCACGCGGCCCGGCATTTCCACTGGTGGGAGGACATCCAAGAGGGGTAAGACCCGCGTCCACACTCAGAGCAACAGCACCTTTGACGGTCAGAAATGGAGCAGGGCGTCCCTGGTGGCGCAGTGGTTGAGAGTCCGCCTGCCGATGCAGGGGACGCGGGTTCGTGCCCCGGTCCGGGAAGATCCCACATGCCGCGGAGCGGCTGGGCCCGTGAGCCATGGCCACTGAGCCTGCGCATCCAGAGCCTGTGCTCCGCAACGGGAGAGGCCGCAGCAGTGAGAGGCCCGCGTACCACAAAAAATAAAAAAATTAAAAGTAAAATAAATAAATAAATGAAAACTGGGTTTGGTTAAAAAAAAATTTTAAAAAAAAGAAGTGGAGCAGCCCAAACGCCCACCTGCCGATGAAGGATAAACACAGAGGAATATGATTCCACCGTACAAAGGAACGACGCACCGGTGCAGCCTACAATGCGGGTGGACCTCGGACACGTTATGCCCGGTGAAAGGGACAAACACTGTCCGAGTGCACCACGTGGAATACCTAGAAAAGGCAAATCCACGGGGACAGAAGGAGACTGGGAGCTGCCAAGGGCCGGGGGAGATGGAGGGGGCAGGTCTTGGGGTGACTGTTACGGGTGCAGGTTTCCTTCTGGGGCGATGAAAATGTTCTAAAGTCGACTGTGGTGACGGCTGCACAGCTCCGTGAATAGACGAGAACCCAGCAAATCACACTCTAAATGGGTGAGTCGTCAGCAGTGGGAATTACGTCTCAAGAAAGCTGCTACTAACAGAGGATCTGTGACAACCTCTAGCTCAGGGCCGCACAGGCAGGACCAGGAGCCTCCTGTACCATCTGGGCCCTGGAGGTGCCCCCAGAACGGGCCGGCGCCAGACGGACCCCAGGGAGAGCTGCTGCCTGGCCAGGGCCCCCTGGAAACAAGTGGTGACTCGAGAAATCAACGGAAATGGGAAAGCAAGACCATTCCCGAGAGGAGGGGAAGGCAGGCGGGGGGAAAGGGATGGGCCCCCCTTCTCCTCCCACCCCCAGGCTGTCTTGGGAGGGGGCAGCGGGGTCACTGGTGGCGGGGGGAAGCTGGGCAGCCTCAAATGTGGGACGGGCCCGTGAGCCGGTCCCGGAAACGACAGGTCCCTCCTCAGAACCCAGGGAATCAGGGCCCAAGGCTGCGGAAATCAGAGAGACCCCGAACCAGCCTGAGCATCAGGACCGGACACAGCCTCGTGCACCTGGGAAGTGGGGCCAGCAGGTGCCAGGCGGCACCACAGGGGGCCCCAAGTGGTGGTTCTATGGCTCCTCCCACAGACACATGCTTGGAGGTGAGCGGAGGGCGGTGGGTGGGCCGCCCGCTCACAAAGCGCAGACCCGGTCCGCGGAGCCAGGTGTGCAAGGCAAGGACGGCGGGGGCCTGGGGGCGCACGAGCTCCCCGCAGAGACCTGCACGCCAGGGCGGTGCTGAGCGCCGAGGCAAAGACACAGGCGGCTCCAGAAAGCTGAACCGAACACGACGAGGGCGAGAGCCCGGGGGTCCTCCCCAGGAGACGTGGGAGGACAGAGGGTCCCCTCTGTCCTGAGGGGGCTCGGCCAGCCTGCCCCATGACGGCCCCCAGAGGGCAGAGCGACTTCCGTGACGAGGCCACTCCTTAGCCGCCTGGATGGGTGCACGAGAAAACTCAGACCCAGCCTGCTTCACGGTGCGCCTTCGTGTTGGAGGAAATTACTCGAAGCTGCAGAACCAGAGGGCACGGAGGCAAGAACCACCATCAGCCAACCCACCAGGCTCACCGAAAATGCCTCAGACAGCTTTCACACAACAGTTCGATAACTGCAACAGACTGGATTTCTGACTGTGGTCCTTGGACAGGAGTCAGGACCAGAACTGAAGAGCCAGGGTAGGCGGTGCCAGGAGCCAGGGCCCCAGGCACCCTGGGGACACATGGCCACTGACCGATGTTTACAGACACTCCCGAACTGGAAAGGGACATTTGTCCACGCAAGGTGCATAGGAACTGGGTTTTGGGGTGTGGGGTGGGCCCACCTCAGCAGAGCCCCTCAGGTGTCGAGCGCCCTGGGGGCACTAGGGCCCCGGGGAACAGGCTGAGACATCACAGGGGCCCCGACCAGGGGCGTCACGTCCCACAGGGCAGCACACCCTGGGTGCCACCACCTGGATGGGTCTAACGTCTCCCCAAGGATACGAGACACTAAGGACACCGTTGAGGTGTAGCGTCAGGCTACTGCTGGCCGAAGCTCTGGAAGGATACTTTCTTTTTCTCAAACTATAAGCCTTTTCATATTTTCCTGCCAATCCCTAAATGCTATATCAGCACTGACTTTGCGTTTCTAGCCACTAAGTGTAGGGATTAAATCAAACTGAGATGAAGGCTTTGCCTCTGTCTGCACGGGCTCCTGTAGGACTTAAGCGGTTCTCAGTTCCGGGGCTGGAAAGGCCAGGATCTGGGTCCAGCGGGGCCCTGTTCCTGGCTTGCAGACGGCCACCTGCCCGCTGGCCTCACCTCGGTGGGTGGGCGGACGGAGGGCAGGCTCTGATGCGACGCAGATGCCGAGGGCCTCCGTTTATCCTGATGACTTTCTCACCGGCCCCATCTCCAAATACAGCCACACCAGGGCTAGGGATTCAACACATGAATTTAGGGGACACAAACATTCAGCCCGTAACAGACTGAAAACTAAAAAACACCAGATTTCAAAACCAAAATTTTAATGAAATTATATTAACAGTTTAAGTTCAAAAGCGTGTTCAAGAAATCAAGATTAGCTGAAAGATTCCAACCACATGTGAAAAGCTAAAAGTTGGGTTTCGAAGAAGGATGTCTGGGGTCTGTTACTGAGAACTGCCGTGAAACGAGGGGCGGGGGGGACCGGCAAGCACGAGCCACAGACACACTTCATGGGTCGACGCTCTGAAGATGCTCGTGGGTGAGCGGTGAGGGTCCACGAGATGTAAGGTGACAGTGAAGGGAATGAAAGCCGTCGACTGAAAAATTCCCACATGAATATTTATGACTCAGGAAAGGTACCACCGTCCAGGGAATCGAGACCAGACACGCCTGTGAGGTGTCAGGCTACCTGCGGTCACTCCGTGTCCTAACCTGGAGCCCTCGCGGGTCCAGTGGAGAGCCAGCTGCACAGCCCCAGCAGCTCGTGGTAGGACACGCGGACACGCTCTCTGCGCCCGAGTGCACCCTCCATCTCCCGAGCCTTGCCGTCTGTCGGCCGAGCACCCAGGTCGAAATTCAAGCCCCCAGTTCTGGAAACAGCACTTGGGACGTCTCCCAGTATAGGGACGATACCAGTCCAACGGAGCTTGGAAGGAACTGGTCATTCTGAAGATGAGAGTTGTGAAGGAGACCAGAAGGGCTAAGGGGACTTGACTCTCCAACGTCATCTTGATGGGCCGGGCACACGCACAAGCACGGCCTAGGGCGCCCCACGCTGGCCCGGGTGGGCTCCTGCACTCACTCTGGCATCCACTTTGGAGGTGCGGGGAGACCCAGTTTCCCCAGAATTTCTTGTTCAAATGAGAAAGTGGAGGAAAGGGCCCAGAAGGGAGAGGGTGTGAGGCCGACCCTGGGCCCTCCCAGGTCCTGAGCCTCCTGCGGGGCAGACAGGCTGGGAGCCTGGCGAGGGGCAGGGGGCAGGGGTGGCGCCTGGGGGCACCGGCCAGGCGCCCGGAGAGAGAGCAGGTCCTTCCCAGGCCCTTGCAGACCACAGCCTGACTTCAAAAGGAGGGATTAAGACGATGAGGTCAAAAATGAAATTCTACAAACAGAACAGGGAGTTGAAAGCAATAGTTAACATTGCAACAAATCCTTTCATAGATAAAGAATTTGATGTTACATAAAGTCACAAAATAGGCTCTTACTAGATCATTGTTATCAAAAAACTAAAACCCTTGCAAACACTCCGTGGGGGCAGGGGTGGCGCCAGTACAGCTGTCCTGCGCGTTAGCAGCCGCGGCCTTCCTTTAGCAACCTGACATTCACGGGTTAAACCCAGACTTCATTTTGTGCCGCTTTCAGGTGGATCTCAGCTGGAGCCGGGAGAGCGGGGAAGCCAGGCTCGGACCGAGCTTCAGGAACGGCCTCCAGCCTGAGCCATCAGCCACCGTGTGTGACAGGACTGTCCCCAAGTCCCCTCCAGG